TGCATGTTCTCACTGACACGCTTAAAAGCATACAGTCTAGACCTGTGCGACTTCTGTAAGGAAACCAGGCTGAAAAAAAGCCCGTCAGTGCTATACTGATAACACCAGTGCTTCATAGACTACGGTAATTGCTTAGTATTTTTATCCACCTCACAGTTCTTCCCTATTCAATATTTTCATTTTTTTTTTTTCGAAATTTACCATTTTCAAACACTCACAGAAATAAACTTCATGACATGAAGCCAATTAGCTTTTTAAAACTTAGGAATCAACATAACAGTTATGTATTACCAACAAAGCATTTATATTTGGCAAAAATTATCAATTCAAAGTTGTTCAAATTTCTAGAGTGATTACTGTAATAGAGCTGCCTGCCTGACATCAGTGGCTTATGATTAGGGTTATTAGGAGTCTCTAGGGATACCAATCTAAGAAGGTCTATCACATGGTCATTGAATACTACTTTAGAACGCAGTATGGACACTAAACAGTGGGTTTTACAGCCATGTCATTTGAGAGTACTTGGAGTTAACAAACACCATTACTTTTCCACAGTACAGCCCCCTCCCCCTCACACGCACACACACGCACAAATATCTAGCACTCTCAGTATATTTTTTCCGTGAAGTATTCCATCTGAAATCTATTGGAATTGGTTTATTGGTACCTTTTTTTGCTTTCCCTTTCCCACCCCCCCACCCCCCCCTTTTTAGACTTATTTTTACCTGTACTGAATTGCCCGAGTCATACAATCTTGCAATTAGATTAGTGAGACAAAATTAATATAAGAATTTAATTGGGTTATTCCTGACCCAACTAATATGGTAACAAAGGCCAAACATTCATGCACAAATCTAGGCCAGCAGAATGCGCTCTCTGATGGCAAGACCCTAATAAATTTCTTTTTACTCTGTGAGATATATTCTGAATTGAATGTGTGATGAATGCAATTTAGATTGGTATACCTTGTAATAGGGTTGCTGTAGGTCATGTAACACTGTCAGATGGGATATTAGCTCACTAGGTTGCATATGGTTATCACTTGAAATTCCATTTGTATAAATGTGAATCTTATAAATGATTATTGGTGTTATGGGAAAGGACAAAAACCAAGTTGCCTTGGATTACTGTCAGTGCTATAGTGCTTCAAGACTGCAAATGGTAATTGAAATCATGAAATTACTTTGAATATAATATGTATTTTGAATCATGACCAGTTTTTCCCCTTCTTTTTCCTTTTTTTTTTGTATTCAGATGTTCCTTTGTGTTGTGCTATTATGTTACTGTATCAGTGTATGCAGTGCAGTTGGCCTTTAGTTGTATAGGGGGCAGCACCTCACACTGTTGTATATCTGGTTGCTGTCTGTCTGTATGGATCTGAAACTTTTTGGCTTGAGCCCATCCTGCACATTCGGAACATTAGATCTTTCTTTTTGAGGTGCTATTTTCACATGATTATTATTCTAGGGAAATTGATTTAATTAATTTTGTTTGACTTTAATAGGTGATAACTTAATTTTCAAGAATAGAGGAGAGAAAAAATGAAAAACCACAAAAATGCCTTGAAGTGTTCATATGGGCATGCACAGTTTTGGACAATAACCAGCAATATGTCAGAAATTTTGTAAAACAAGAAACAACAACAGGGGATTGAACAAGTTGTATTTGGATATTGTCTTGGATACCCATAGCTTGGGAGAAAAATGATACTTCTATTTATCACATAGAAGATGTCTGAGAGTTTTGTTTCTAGAAAAAAAGTGATTGTCTGTTGGAGATGGCTACACAAAGTCTAGTCAGTCGATAAGATGGCTCACGTCTTCTGTGTGATAGCTTAAAACTTTCTCTGCATACAGTTCACATCATCAGGCCCTTTTTATGTGATAGCATGGTAAAATATCTGTAAGCAAATCTGGGGTATTGTTGGAATGATTTGAGATGAAAAGACGTAGTTGGGGAAAGAGTTCAAGAAGTATCTATAGCCTACAGGACAGTTGAAACCTCACTTCTTTGGCATGGTTACAGGTTTTCAGATATGCGATCTTTCATTTTGTAATATCTATAAAAGGGGTTGCTGTTGCTTTTGCTCTGGCATTTCTATCGCTTGTGGGGCAAAGCTTCGAGTTGTTACCATTTGCATAGAACTTTTTCATCTCGGCCTGTTTGTATGACATGTTTGTCCAGTGGCACTGAAGTCAGTTGACAACATTGCTTACAAAACAAAACTACTCCCAAAGAAAACAGTGAGAGAAGTCTGTGGATACATTGAGCACATATCTAACAAGAAAATAAGTTTTTTATACTTCGCAATCTGCAGTAGGATGTATCACAGACAGCAGCAGCAGCGGCGGAACTCTGGGGCCTCCCTGGCAGGGGCGAGGGTGGCCGCGGGGATCTTTGACCACTGGAGGATGTTTGAGGCGAGCCAGGAAGAGGACAGGTAGGGAGGAAGGGACAGACTCTCACTAACTTTTTTTTTTACCGAATGATAATCACACTTAACTTTGGTAACAAAATTGATTCAAAATAATTTATTATCCATACATTATGATCCGTATGTTATAAATGTGATTCTTTCCACTGATATTTATATAAACATTCTGGATCATTGTTTAGGATGTAGGGGCAAATAAATACATATAAGGAACGTAAAGAAAATGTGAATCCATACAGATAAGGACATAGGACTGGACTGTAAATTCGATGGAAAAGTTGAACATGGTTCTCTGAGACTGTTGAGATTTGAATTCCAAACCACAACTTTTGAAGTTTTCTTGTTTTTCTGCATTTTTATAACAACTTTTTATCAGTAAATAAAGCATCTCCATCAGTATTACATTGTTTGATTGGTAAGACAAATCCAGATCAAACATTTCAGTATATTTTAGGAGTAGGTTTTTTTTAAAAAAGAACCTGACCACGTAGAAGGCAAATCAATCTTGAAAGCTGGATTGAAACCTAATGGAATAATGTACGCATAGACAGGATTACTTGTCCATTTGTCTATTATTTTATTACCAGTAGGATGCCCAGAAGCTTGACATTATAATCGATAGAATCAGAAGACTTGGGTTAGATTTACCAGAGTACTAAACGATACTTTCACAAACAGTATTGATCCTAAGTCATCTTTTAGGAAGGGGTGTGAAATTGTCGTTATTTTTTGAAAGCTTTTTTATTGCTAGTGTCATTATTTTATAAACTGTATTGATTCAGACAGGAAGCAGTGTGAAAATTATGTTTTTTAGAAAGCTTTTGGGGTGATGTCATAAAATGTTCTGTGGCCAGAGGTTTTTTGGATGGAGTTGTGTCACGGAAGGGTGCCAAATTCTCAGTGTTTAAAAGCTCTCTTTTGTTTCAATGACGTAGATGTGCATTAAGCCATTGAAGATGGCTTTAAGCAACATTGTTTCTGGAAAATTGGGCAAAGAAGAGAAAATAATAGAATATGGATAGATATAGTGGAGTAGGATGATGGCAAGTAAAGTGAAATACATGATTCAGGAAAGAAGTGTTTTTTTTTTTTAGCATTTTTTCATGTATTTCGTGTTTTTTTTTCTTTTCCTATGTAGAAATAAGGTAAACACTCATTAACTTTTCACCATTTTTTCCTTTCTTCCTCAGTCAGTCATTGGTATCAACTATTTTTTCGCTTCACTTCTTGTGTCCCCAGACGATATGTGGTCTTGACAGCCAAAATGTTGATGCTTTGGGTTTGTTACCAGAAATTTCTTTGAGGGGAAAATAGAACTGCGTTCCANCGCTGGTGGTACAATAAATAAAGTGAAAACTATCAGCAAAAGTTTAGTATTTTAGGAAATCTTTACAGCACATGACGGAAGAGACGGGAGACATAATGTCAATAGTATCACCCTGGGTTAAATAAACGTATTTTTCTAAACTATATATTACCACATTTGAACTTCTCGTTTAGAATTTTCCATTAAAACTAATACCGCTCCCTTTTTTTTATCTCACTACAGGAGGCTACTATAAAGAAGACAAGGAACCAACACAGGAATTCTGGAAGATAAATCTCTCCCAGTCTCCAAATGAAAGCTACATGGAACAGCTGCCAGACATGCCTGTGGCCATGAAGGATCACAAGTCCTGTATTCTGACTTCTGACAACGAGGCATTCCTTTACATAGTCGGCAACAAAAATGTTAGTCTACGTTTTAATTTTTCCAGCGAAACTTGGGAGCATCTTCCCAAGTTACCCGAGGAAATGGCAATCATTCAAGGTCTCCATTATGTAGCAGGCATATTGTACTGTATGGGTGGAGGCTCCATGTACTCCCACAAGCCATCAGAGGGGATAAAGGGATCATGGAACATGTGCATAGATGATAACAGTTTCCCACATGGACTTACGGCAGATGCTGCAGGAAAAATATACACTTTTGCTACTGGAAAATCTCTCCACGAGTTTGAGCCCCAGTCTCGACTTCTCTCCAAAGTGTGCGATATTAATCCACTGGACATACAGGGTCATGGGGCAATGGTGGGATTTGGGGACAGGACCAATTCATATCTGTATTTTACTGGAGAACATAAAAAGGACACGAAAGTGGATGTGAACAGGGTGATAGAGTTTGATTTAGAAATGCATAGAGCTGTTGTTGCCGGGTACCTTAAACATAAGAACCATGGCCATATTGGGCTAATTGTTCTTATGTAGACAACTCCTCGTTTTATACAAGGGGACTGTGACTAAGCTTGAGAAAATTGTTGTATTTTGCCAACATGTTTAAGAACCTTTGTGAAAAGGGTTTCATACTTCAGAAGCTGAATGGAACTAGAAAAACTTTCTTCTGAACACAAATAGATAGTATTACACGGATTGAAGTTTTTTCTTTAACTTTTTATAAATGGATGTCATTTTCACTATCATTTCACTTTATCTTTTCGTTTTGAAAATCTTTTTTGTTTCAATAAATTTACTTATAATATTGTAAACATAATGAAAACCACAAAAATTGACATGAAAATGAATTTCATTCTTTAAGATTCAAAAGATTTCTCTTCACTGTACTGTAATAAATATGTATAATAATTCCTCCATAGATCATGTACAATAAATATGATGCATTCAACAGCACTTCCTGTGCTAATTCAAAACTTGTGATGGTTCATTTATAATTCACAATGTTGTTATACTTATTCATAAAAATGACACAATTGATAACACTGAAAATATGCAGCAACAAAGTTTCCATTTACCTTTATAAATGCTGTCTATTTGTCATTGTTTACCTACTGAAAGCAAATGCTGCCTCCCTGTCTCAACGATTCTTCAAAATTCCCTTTAGATTCTTCGCTTTATCAAACAAGCACCTGTAAAATCCGCATTAAAGTCTCCAAGTGCATGTATACATGTACACTTAGTGATAAGCATACCATCTGCTGAGATGAATTACATCTAGTCAACCTCTAACACATCTTAGACCCATGATGAAAGCACAGCTCCCATGCCAAATGCCAGTAAAATAGAGGTCATAATATTTTGTGCATTTGTTCTGGTTACTGGTCACAGTTTCTGCTTTAGCCCAAAAGATTCCTAGATCTTTGGAGATTTAAGTTCTTGGCCAAGACTGCTCCCAATTCCCATATACCTCTGGGAATTTTTGAAACCATTTACATGAACAACTTCCATCTCTCATATTGTAAAAACTATGGTGATGGCAACCATACAATTTTTTAAAATTTAGTTGTCATTTTATATAATCCAACTCCAGTATTTCCTGGAGGACCTCCACAGACCAATACCTGCTATACGTGCACCATTCCATACAAAAATCTGAACACAGGGTTAAGAAATTTAGGCTTGAAAAATTTCAAATCATTTTCAAGTCATACCTATGAATTTATACTCTTTGTTTAGTATTTCAAATAAGTTAATGCCTAAAGTTCAAAAGAAAGTTTTAATAAAATAAAAAAAAACTTACACTGTTAACATTTTCTGCTATATATAATTTTTAATTCATGACACTTAAGGGAAAATGAAATCCAAACATTTTGTTTTATACTCACCCAATTAATAATTAAAAAGGATACGTCCAAAACAAAATATATGTCTGGAAGGAAAATCTGTCAAGGAAAACAGAACAAATAATGACGGAAGTCAATGTTAAAAAGGTTACCAACATTTCCTGGAAACTTACGGTTTATTCTTTTATTGTACAGATAGTGTTAATTCCCATTCAGATCTCCAGTAATCTAGGATGCAAGTTACATTTGTAGGTTTACAATGAAATTTTTTGACAGCAAAAAAAAAGTAATAAGTTTAAAATAAGTACAATATTGTCCATGTTAATAAGGATACAAATAAACCTCCTAGTAATCCACCTGTAAAGAACCCTATTCTGGATCTGAAATATCTATGCCACTGGGATCCTGCCTTCATCAACAGCATCACCTAGTACAACAGCAAGGACAATAATAAACATTCTGTGCCAAATATCAAGTTCAGCATGAACAGCCAAAACCACATTCTGTATCCAACATCAAATACAGCAAGGATGGCTAATACTACATTCTGTATATAATATCAAATACAACTTTAAGAAAGCATTAAATCATTTTAATGGACCATTTGCTCCATTTTTGTCATTAACCTTTCTATTTTCTTTTTGTAATGATATAAATTTCATATTTCAAAAAAAAAAAAAAAAAAAAAAAGATTTACATTCCTTGCTATGCTACACTAGGCAGCTTATCAAGGGTTGATTGCTTATTTCCATAAAGTAAAAAAATGTCTTCAAATAAGTAACATACTGATAAAATGAATGCAGTAACAAAGTAAAAAATAAATCCAAACAATCCAGTCAGTCCCAGTATCCCTGCAGTAGACCCTGACAGCGCCGACATTGATGTTCTACAGTAATCCAAAACAGCTGCATTCTGACGCATGGACACCTCACTGTAGGCTGTTGGTTCTTTTAATGAAAACAGAAATAAATGTTATGGGCATTGAAGAGCGATCTCAAATTGTCGAAAAATATTCCTATCAGATACATAAGACGTACAAAGGAACCGCAGGTAAAGTATTTTATGGTGCTCGACTACCTACATGTATGGCATGGCGAATTCTTTCATTATCCTGCAATAAATTTAGAAATCAAGAGTATCAAATGTACGTCGTGATCAGATATATGCCTTTAATCGTAAATGCCCTGTTTTCATCAAATCAGGGCGAGCTAATTACCTTTTCTTGTGGACCGTCTCGGTGTTTTCACTGCCATGGTGGTCGCCATTTTTATAAGATGCGGAGTGAATAGATTGGAATCTATTCATTTTGAAACTTTACAACGTATAACTTAAAGTTTTGATAAAATTTAATGTTAGATCGATTAATTTATAACATATAGTAAATATAGATATTTCTGGAAGTAGAAGTAGAGACCAAAACATTCAGCTGCGGAATTGCTCCTGCGCAGGATACCTGCGCAGAACTCAAAGTGAGCCAGGGGGGCAAAAAAGTTTATGAAGTGTTTTATTCAGTTGCTGTTCATTGAGAAAGCCCTGTAAAGAAAGCGTAAAGTCGAGTGTAGGCTACACACAAGAAGGTAAGGACACTTAACAAGGACACTGTCAATGAACATCCAGTTTTGAAATCGAAAGCACAATCGCTGTGAGAAATTAGTTGAGAGTTGTCGTTGGATCATGATTGTGCTTGGAGTAAGATCCTGCACAGCAACTGTTTTAGAAGAAAGCAACAAAAAGACATTCATTTCGTGTCATGGGTGTAATAAAGTTGTCAAATTAACAGGCAATGTTTAACACGTGGCGCAGTTGCTGTAAATATCCATATTATAGTGCATGTCATTCATTATGATTAGACAAAAACTTTATGATATAGTTGTAATAAGGAGAGCTTGAACTGAAGCTGAGTGACTGTGGGGGGCATCTAAACTCGAGCCCTTTTCACATTCCATTATATCTTAGCGATATAGCATTGTCATTACATGTTGAAATATTCTACCATAAAATTATGCTACAGAGGAGTTTGCTTCCTTTCACAAATTAGCTTTCTGACGTTTAGGAAAAAGTTAATCAGTTGAGAGCTTGTTATCGGTGGGGTTAAGTTACTATCCAACATGATAGCCAGTCTTTTACGTTGTCAATTTCTGAACAGTATGCATTGTAAATAAAAGAAGTTAGTGCACAAGTTGGGTGAGTGATTAGATATGATAAATATGTATTTAAGGCCTCTGAAAAGTTAATATGCAGCAAAGGTATACAGGTTTAAAACTGTGTTGTGAAATTAAATTATTTTGTGATAACACCCTTTTCAAGTCATTAGCTTGTTAAAAACTAGTCAACAGTCATGTCTTGTTATATGTCATTCCTTGTATTAAGGTATATGGAATGCAGTGGGGTGAGTAATAATGATGTGTTAAAGGTAACACTGAAGGTCTCTGACATGTTAACCTGGTGTCGGTGAGTCATTTTAGACTTAATTGGAAATTTGTGTGTGTGGAAAAGATGCACAAAATTAAGAAAGTACCTACAGGACTTAATGTGAAAAACATATCAAAAACAATTTGAATTGATTAATTGTACATGTTAATTTTTTCATAGTTTTTGACATTGTGACGGTGAGTGGACCCTTGGGATGCCTTTAACACAATGTTAGATAAAATGAATATGTGTGTGTGCCATTCCCAAAAGGTCCTTTTGTAGTCAAACTTTTTTGCTGAGAGGGCCATTTGAAGTAATATGGTACTCTAAGTAATATATCAATTTTTTTTGTAGGTTTTGTTTTTGCAATGATCTTTATCTTTTGGTTATATATTTTTGAAAGGTTTCTTTAAGTGAAACAAAATGATAATTATAAGATAATTTATTGTGAAACCAGCTTTCATTAAGAGTAACATTAGTGATTTGGCAAAACTGGAAACTAGGCCAAGTGTGACAACTGTTTTCACCATGTGATAAAAATATATTTCAGCTGTCAAAATAGGAGGAAAGACCATTAAATTGAAAAAAAAATCACTTGAACAAAAGCTGTTTGAAATCATACTTGTAAATGAATACTTTTCTTTAATGAATGACAAGCTTACCATAAGAAATTTATCTTTATTAGTAAAAGATCCCCATCGTGTCATAGGAGAAGATCACACTTTTTCCATTCATGATATCATCTAGTTCTATCTGTACACTTAGTAAGTTATGACTTTATGGCCAATAAGAGTATCTGTTTTTGAAAAATAATTCCTTTTCAGTAAGACTTTTTTGGTATAGATTTTAAAGCTCAACATGGAAATCTGTATCTGTGCACTTATCTTATTACTGTATCTCATAGCTATATATAATCATATTACTGTGAAGTTATGTCAATTATGCATGGTTTAACTTTGGTTGGTTTTTAGATAATTGTTTTTCTTGATCAATTAACTTTTTGTCTTACAGGCTTGCAGCTGAGATTCGATCACTGTTGCAGTTGAAGCTATGTCAGTCATCTTACTTAGGCATCACGCATGCAGTGAGCAGTCATAATTCTTCCTGACGGTAAGTCTTTTGTGAACTTTCTTTGCCTGGTTCTGGCCTCAGGGTTATGGTACGGAATTGACCTTTTTGGACAAAATTTATTTTGTGGGAAAGAAAATGATTTTGCTCATTTGTTGCCATTTTGTCCGTGATTTTGCTGATGTGTAGATTAAGTCAGAAAGTGATATAAGATTTAAAGATGATGGTCTGTCAGAAAATCTTTGCCAGCTGATGGTAGGTGACATCTTTGATAAACTTATATGGCACAACTCTGACACAGACTGCTGCTGTTGGATACATCTCTGTTTTTGTAAAAAACCGTTTTCACCACTTTAACACCAATTTTGATGACATGCATGTTTGGTGAAAATAACAAGGTGATGGTATATTTTTAATGTTGGAGTGATGGCAGTGATGTTTATTACTGGGTTTTAGTGTAAGTGTTGTTAGTGTACACACCCTTGAAGCTACAGTGAGAACAGGTGTTGCAAGTAATACGCCAGGTCTTATCTACACCAGGTAACACCAGGCTGTTTTGATGCTTGCAGGTAACCCGTTTTTCTCTGTAATGTTGGACATTAAGATTTTTTGTTGAACACTGCATTTTGAACTGTGTCTGCAGTTGTGTATGATATATTAAATTACTGACATAATCATATTGTTGATGAATCATTTGCAGTTAATCTGGATATATCTGTAACATTATTAAGGACAAGCAGTGCTGTTTTTTATATCCCGACCTTCCATTATTCCATATTGCTTTTCATGTCACCTTTCTCAGGAGCAAGGTGTTAAGAAACAAAATTGAGCATCAAAATTGTGAATTATAGTGGATGTATCATGGTATGTCCAAAGATAAGGCAACTCCCAAGATTTGCCCAAAATAAGATCAGTTGACAGCTTACTGTGTGTACTACTTCTTTCTCTAGATATATCATATTTGACTCTCCAGATGGTGTAACCTAATTATTTAATGTAATTTGATCTTTATAAGGGTAAGCAAGACAAAGGCATTGTTTGATAGTGCACTTGAGCTTGATGGCTTTTTCTAAGTGAACATGATCTATAAAATATGAGAATATCGCAGCATTTTATATCTACAGTGCTCATTTGTTAACCTTACATAAGACTAGGCTGTGTGACTCAGCTGAGAGAAGAGAGTCCAGTAGCCTTACTCCAGGATGTGTAAATCAAATGCAAATTTTCTGTTGCAACTTTCTCATTCCTTTGTGCCAGATGCAGATCTGCAAGGAAGGTTAATGTGTGGAAATTACATTCTGTTGCCATTGTGAAGAAGAGAATTAGATTATTCTGTTGATTTTTTACTTTCTTTTGTAATCCCCAGTGAGGTTTTCTGTGCATTTCTCTGTGATCAGCAAGGATCCTGCAAACTTCACTTGAAAGGATCCATCTGCATGCTCACTTGCTGTATCATCACTTCAAATATTGGTTTGGAAAATAAGGTGCATTTTTTTTCTTTAATATACTAGTACTCACATGCATATTTTAAAAAGTAAATTTTGCAGTATTTCGAGGATTGCATCCAAGCTAAATGAGTGTGGTAGTGATTTACATGTGGTTCTCCAAGTTGAATTTACTGGATGGTTCTTTATATATAAATATATTTAATGAATTGAAATCATAATTAAATTGTTTTATTATTAAATTGTCCTGTTCCATTTCCTTAATACAACAGCATTGGCAAACTCTGTACCAAAGGCACCAATTTAGGAAAAACTAAGGCAGTCCCATTTGACACATATATATTTAATGACAAGTATCTAAGAACCCAGTAGTGTCTGTAATACATTTCCTTTAGAATTGCTTATCACCTTCTTCCAGTTAACAGATCAATAAAGTTTAACTATCAGGATTTTCTACTATGAAAAGATTTAATTGTCTATAAAATGCCAGGTCCCCTTTGGCTGTGCTATGGACACAGAATGGCCCATGAGACTCGATTTATGTTCTCAATTGGTGGAATATGATGAAGATGTGATATTTTTCAACTTCGTCTCATTTGAATTATTTCTTTCAATATATATACTAAGCAGATACCCAGATGCAAATGTCTGCTTCTGATTTTTTAAAATCAGATTATATGCTATTTATCAGTGATAAAATAAATGAAAAAGAAAAAGAATCAACAGCCAGAATGCATAAAACCGGTTAGCAACCCTAATAGTGACATTCTCATTTACTGTCATTGAAGGTCATATCTGATTGACCTGAAATCCCTTAGTGCCAAAAGACACTTTCCTCTTACCAAGAGATAAGCCTTCAGTTAATTGCCTTTCAGCCACAGTATTTGCTATTAATTGTGTTTCCTTCATGATTCATTTGTGCGCAAATTATAGGTTTTTACATATGACTTTGAATTTGCACCAGTTTCAACATTAGCAACGGCTTTCCCTTACTGCATTATCATTTTATCATATATTTTGCATTTAACAATAGGTTGTCTTTTTTTTTTTCGAATTGAATGCTTTCACTTCTTTATGTTGCCTATGTTGCCTAGACATTAATTTTTTCAACACACTTAGCAAAATGAGAATACTCCAGGAAATCCTAGACTTAATGCATCCCCTCTCTGGGAGTTTCCTGTTTCCAGCTCAATTTGAACACTCCATTAACTTCACTGTATCTTTACTTAAAGTATAATGAAGTGAATCGTATATAATTTTCCTCTCTGTATGTCTGTGTACATATGAACCACAGTGACAGGATAATGATTCTGAAGAATTAGTGGACGTATATTTTGAATATTGACCAGTGCTGAATAAGTAGATGCACTTCTGAACCTA